GGCATGTACGACTGATTTCAGCCATACAACGACTGAAATCAGCCGTACATCGGCTTCCTGCGGCTGGGTTCGGGTTGGCCGAACATGCTCAGCATGTTCGGCCGGCCCGAAGTGCAGAAGGAGTTCGACGCAACTGATCCAACATCTGGATCGGCTGAGCCGAACCACCGGCAGGCTACTTGCTGCTGTTCGGCCTATTCTCATAGGGGCCGAACAGCAGTGAGTGAATAGCTGAATGCCACCGAGCAGAATAGAAAACCAGTTGTACCGAGCAGAATAGAAAACCAGTTTAAAATAGTAGAAAAAAAAAATAGAAAATGATTGGGCTGAGCTAGTAGTGACAGCTAGCTCCGCCCAACGGTTTTCTATTCGCCGGGACCAGCTGTCATTACAATGAGAGCTTGTCTGAGCCGGCGGTGGTATCAAAGTCGGCTCTGCTGAGTTCTCATGGTACTGACAGATCAGCGTGCTGAACTGTCAGTACCATGAGAGCTCAGCAAAGTCGGCTTTCATATCACCTCTGGCTCTGCTAAGATCTCATTGTAATGCAGGGGGAGAGAGCACCCCCCTGAAATGATGGCAGTTAGCAGAGGAAGCAATAGCTTCTTTGGTATCTGCAAGTTTAGTTTTTTTTTCGTATTCTCACAGCTGCTGCCGTCAGAATAAAAAAAGAAAAGAAAAAAAATCACCATAGGAATGCATAGCTAGATTCCTATTGGCTATTTCAATTTGCAATATCCAATAGCAAGCTGGCTATTTCACCCGCCCTCTGCTGCTGTTAATCACTAGAAGGGGACCTGATTGAGTTCTAAATCAGGTCCCCTCTGCTGATTGACAGCAGCAGTGGGCTGGTGCAATAGTTAGTTTGCTATTGGCTATTGCAAAGTGAAATAGCCAATAAGAATGCAGCTATGCATTCCTATGCTGGGTTTTTTTCTGACTAATGGCACCGGCAGCTCCGATGTCAGAAGAAAAGAAAAAAAATAACAGAGCAGGGAAAGGTTTACTCTGCTCAAATCGAGCAGAGTAAACCTTTCCGGGAGAAAGTGTTTCTCTCCCGGGCGGCTGGGGGCCGATATCTAATAGCAGGAGACTCCCGGAGCATCCGGGAGAGTTGGGATGTCTGACAGATCAGAGTACCTGGTTACCTGATCTGTCTCTGCAAGTGGCCGAAGCCAGCCGTGAGATGGCCAATGGCCGGCCGTTCGGACAGCTTTGGCTTACACCTCGGCTCAGTCGAGCCCAGGCATATGCCTTCAGCTCGACTGAGCTGCTCGGCCGACTTCGGGAGCTGTACGGGTTATAGTGAATAGCCCGTACAGCAGCCCTTCGGTTCTACTGAACCGAAGGGGTCCTGGGGCCGAAGCTAGCCGAAGGATCAGCCGAAGCTACGGCTAGATCCTTCGGCAGCTTTGTGAATAGACCCCTATATATACAGCTTGATTATTGTTTTTTATGCTATATTGTATGTTTTTAATAATCTCAATAAAAATGTAAAAATCTTAACTAGGAAAAGTCACATTCAGCAATATTTTTAGATGCTCTTGCTTTGTTTATATTAGATTGTCTCTTTGTTAGATACGCAATAAAAAAATTGAACACAGAACACCTAATTGCTCAAAGCAGTTAGAGGGTAGTGTATATATTATAATCTTTATGGGGTATATTTACTTAAAGGAGTTCTAAAGTCACATCATATATTCTCCTCATCAGCAATGTAATATGAATACACACTATAGTTGTTTTTCATATTGCAATCAAGGCTCACTTTCAACAACTTCCTGGATTCCCAGTGTGCTTTGTGCCTCTTTCCCTGCTGCTTGATGTGATACAAACCCGATTTGTCAAGACTACATATCTCATCATACACTGCTTCCAGCAAGCAATGGTAAAGTTACATTGTTCGGACACTGAGTTGTAGTTCAGATGGCAGGCTCTCTGAGTTGTGATACACGAAAGTGCATATTCACAGGGCTGAGGGAAATTGTGTCATTGCATTGAGGAAGTACATCCTATGGGCATCTTCAATACGTAATTTTACAAATGTCTAGATTGATGAGTGGGATAGACCTTATGGAAATTCAATAAAGAAATATACATTTATTATCAGTTTTTGACCTTAGTTACCCTTTAAGGATTACAGTGTTCACCCTAAAGCAGAACTCCATGTTACAGCCTAGCTGGGCTCATGGACAATGGGCAGAAATACAGAGTGCTATTCTGCCCTGAAGAGGACCAACTGCACTGGACTGAGGTGGACTCTGGGGACAGCGCTGGGGCATGAAAAGCGTAAGTAAATATTGGCACTACTGGGTTTTTGTGTTTTTTTTACAGGAGGTGAGGGGCTTAAAATTGAAAAAAAAAAAACAAACATCCGGGAGCTTTTTTTTAAGTCACTGCAAACACTAGTCTGCTAAATGATTGTGCATAGTAAACATTTTAATTAAATACTGGATTTTTTATCCTTTTTTGCTTCTCAGTGCTGCTGATCTCCTGGAGCCTATTTGCACCCACTTGCTATCTACACGCATGCACTCAAGTGATGGCTGCATGTGCATGGCATTTGTCAGGGTGGTTTTCCTGGTGGTTACAAGAGTGGACCATGGCTATATGTGTGTTAAAACAGCTGAGTCAGGGAAAACATGAAGTGCATGAGGAGCAAGATCAGTCATGGCAGGATCACTAGGTATTATACTGAAGAAAACTGCAGATGTAGAATATTGAAAATTATGTTTAGAATATCATATTTTAGAAATCACAGTTTACAATTGAAAATGAAAGCAAACAGAAACCAGCAGTTATAAAGTAGGACAAAAATACTATTTAAAAAACTACATTTAGGTAACATATAAACAACCAACCTTCCCTTGTTTATACACTCCCTGACAAGTGGTAGATCTACAGAATGTATGCCTAGCAGTACATACAATACCTATGCAGTATTAATGTAAATCATGTGGTTTGTGGGAAAGTGCCATGGGTCCTGTCACAAGTGTATATGAGATGAAGGTGACTGTTCACCAACACTAATTATTAGGGGTAATAAAAATGGTTTGCAGTACATCCCCATAACCTCGGCTGAGATCGCAGATTATAATACACAACCAAAGCTCCCTCGCTAATACTAGTGCCTATGAGCTTGTCACAGCATTATAGAGAATGACAAAACGACAAAAAGCGATTTAAATCATTCTATTAAAAAAGTTGAGTTGCTCCTAGCAACAACACATCCCTTATTTTATATGAAATTATGTTTGCTGCTCTTTGTGTTTGCAGATGCTGTAATTTTGTCAGTTGAGATGTGATTACATTGTGCTTATTATTACAAATACAAGGACAGGCAGGCATCACCTCTTCAATGTTCTAACATGTGCGATGTCATCTGTATTATCCAAAGATGTCATTATAGTATCATGGCATAGTGATGTCATCTGTATACAGTGATATCAGCATTGCTTTACTAAAAGAGTAGAACATTGTTGACTTTACAACCTGAAAAGGATCTCCTGAAAATTAAACCCACACGGTCACTAAAAAATGTAAACTATTTTATTTGTCTAACCTCACCCATATGATGTTGTGTACCCAGATGTATATGTTAAATATATTTTCAAAGAGCTTTGTAAGTAAAAACGTAGTGAAGGACAGATGTGTCATATTGGAACTGTCACCTATGACAACTTTGTATCCAAACTGATATAAAATCTATGTATCAAGACTGATACTGTAAACACCACATATGTAGAAAGAAGATACATAGTAAGGCGATACAAGGAGATACATAATAATAAAATATCATTTTATTTAGTTCTGTGTATCCTAACTGTGAAAAGAATCGTACCGGAGTCTTCTGCAATCTGTTGCAGAAAACAAATCTTCAGGTTTATCTTCACCGTCCTGATCTAGCTGAATGAGCTATAGTTCACATAGAGAATTGATATATCTATTTATATTTATATACACACACACATATATCATATATATCTATAGATCTATACATCTATACATATCTATAGATCTATTATAAATTGGTGATAGATAGATAGATAGATAGATAGATAGATAGATAGATAGATAGATAGATAGATAGATAGATAGATAGATAGATAGATAGATAGACAAATCCAACATCACAAATTATAAACGTTCATCAGTAGTACCTTAAGCAGTTCTGTTGCAATGATCCATAGTGCTATTGGGGCTTTTTTAATTATGAAAGAATCAAGTTTTTTTTGAAGTTTAATAGTTTTTTTAAATTGTTTGTCATCAACGTATTATAATATTCTGTGTTGCACAGAAACAGCAAACATATAAAGCTATCTACTACCATTATTTATTTTTGTCTAAACTGATTTTTTTAAAGCAAATGACTGCTTATTTGCAGACATGCCTCTGCAATTAGTTCCCTATTGTCCTGCTGAATTAGATCCACAACAGTATTGGGGCCGTTTGTTATTTTATAGGAATCAAATAGTAATGAGCTCTGATGGCCTCTGACCTCTGTAATAGGGTCCAATCCTTCAGGAGACACTGCAAGCCATCAGCCATGTCATGATAGGCACTTGTGATGCTCCCTCCTAGAATTCTGCTCATTGTGGAATTTTAGTACATCCTGACATAGGATGTGACTGCTTTTATATTTTGCATACAGATAAATAATTTATTGATGCAGCATTGCATGTTACTAGATCTGCGGTATGTGTAATTTAAACATATTTGTACTGATCACAAGTCATTTAGCAAGAGTTTAGTAAGAACTTAAGTACTTCTAAGTGATAAGATTGAAGTAAACTAAATGGCATGAAGTCTGCTAGCTACAGGAATTTAGTACCAATTACACGATGTTAGAAGTGATGAGAAGTGGGAGGAAGCCATGGGCTAGAAGAAGAGAGTGAAACGATCTTTAGGGAAAACGTCTCCTCCTTCTTAAGCTCAGCCCCGACCCGCCCTCCATCCAATAAATAAATGACTACTGTCCACATCAAATTCCACAGCTCTCCCTAAGACAAACACTGGAACAGGCGTGTCCACTGTAAATTGTTAATCAAACACATCCCCTTTATTCTGCATTAATTTACACCTTGATCCCTGAAGGGAAGAAGGGGCAAGCAGGCAGTCCACAGACCATGTCTACTGGCTCTCTGAGTGATGTGGAGGACTTCCAAGAGGTGGAAATGTTGGGATGTGATGGCATCAAACTGGATTCTAGTAAAGAGTTTGGGCTTTCAAATGACAGCAACGAGGAAAGTTCCAATTGTGACAATGGATCTCCCAAGAAAGGCAGAGGAGCTACAGGAAAGAGAAGGAAAGCCTCACGCAAGAAAAGTCCCCTGGGTGGGGTTAACCATGAAGGAAAGCAGGTCCAGAGGAACGCTGCCAATGCCAGGGAGAGAGCCAGGATGAGGGTACTCAGCAAAGCTTTCTCCAGACTCAAGACTACCTTACCCTGGGTACCACCGGACACTAAGCTGTCCAAGCTGGACACCCTGAGGCTGGCTTCAAGCTATATTGCTCATCTGAGGCAGATACTAGCCAATGACAAGTACGAGAATGGATACATCCACCCTGTGAACCTGGTAAGTGCCCCTTCTCAGTTATTGAACCAGCTTTAATGTATATTGCATGAACTCTACCTACAGATCAATGTATAGCGTGATGACATTACTGTATTATCAATGTCAGATGTGAAAAGATTCTTGACAGGTGACAGATACAACGACTTTTTAGCTGAGGGTATTGTAGGGATTATTATTTGCTAATATCCTTGCTGCACAGTCTCTGCAGAGCTGTATACCCTCCCTGTGCCTCTTATCTCCTCGGCTGTAAATTATGAAGCTGTAAGGGCTTTCTTTTTCTTTTTTGCAAGGGAGGAATTTTATCTTTACCAGCACAACATACATCCTACTCCCTTAATTAAGAAAATAAAATACATGACGTACAACCTTTGAGTTTTTTTTTTTTTAAATAGGGTCACAAAATGAGATTTTTAGAAACCTTTGAGAAAATATTTAGAGGACTTTAAAGATGACAAATCAATAACATAACAAGTAGAAAAAAAAGATAAAGAGCAAAACATACAGCTCTAGAATCATACAATATAATAATAATAATGATGATCATAATGATAATAATAAGAATTATTATTATGATCATAACTATTATTATTATTATTATTATTATTATTAACATCATCATCAGGAGTATATTATTATTACTTGTATTATTGTTCCTCTTCTTCTTCTTTTTTATTATTATTATGAAGAACAATAATAAAATTAATAATAATATATGCCTGATGATAATAATAATAAAAATTATTATTATTATTATAGTATTGTAGT